ACCCCCGCCCCCCCCCCCCATGTCGTCGCAGCTCCCACCAAAGATTTATACGGCCCGGAAGCGTTCAAGTTCGAGGCTCAGGTCGAAGACGACGAATAGTGGAGCGTGTTAAGTGTACTACAACAACCGAGGGCCCGCGGTAGCATGGCGCTATCTATCGAGGGAAATACCGAGGAGGGTTTTCTCCGTGCCCAACCCTACTGAGCGGGGCGTTTGATTTTGTGAGGGTGGCCCGGCCGCCGTTGTTTGGGATCATTGTTTTGCTTTTTCTATCGGTTCTTGTTGCGTGTTTCCCAGCTGTAGACCACGGGGTTGACGGTGGGACGAGGACGGCAAGCATTTTCGGTTGTATCTATCGCGGCCAGATATTCGACACTTTTCAACCGGTTGCAGCGTAGCGGTAGTCGTTCAAAATCGCCGCCGAAGCGAGTGGGAGATGTCTGCAGGAGTTGTCATGTTCCCGATAAGCATCGAACTCGATGATACACACCACTGGGCATGATTGTTCGGGGTTGCTCGCGGGGAGAATATGGTCGATCGATGTACACGGCCGAACAGCCCAATCAACGAGTATGAACTTCGGATGGATGGGCATCGAAGCTGTATCTGCCCAACTGCTCGAAGAGTGTATGAACTCTGGATGGATGGACATCGAGGTTGCATCGTGCCATGGATCGGTTACCCGTTAGTGTTTCGTGACTAGACCATCAGCGACATGAACGGACGCGTGTATATTCCGTTCCTTGCCGAAGGGACAATACCCCCTGTCGACGTAAAGTCATGGGTGTGTCTTGTCTCGACTACTGCGCGAAAATGAGGCAGATACAGCACGTCTAAAGAGCGAAATGACACAACGGTGCCAACAAAGAGCCTCGAGCACAGCCGTGCGCACCCCAACAATTCTAAAGTTTCCACTGTTTGCGTTCAAAGACCTGTAGGCAAAGGCTCGAAACGAGTTTTCAACTCGCAACGCTCCATCCCGGTGACGAGCAGCTGACGATCTGGTTACGGCTGTTTTTTGGCCGGCCTTAGAAAATCGAAGCGCGGGTGCACCGCTTTTGGAAACCCTAACAATCCTACACTAGAGCGTCGAAGTTGTTTATCCCAATCCCCCGAAGCGTATGGAACCACACAACACATTCCGCACAGAAAAGGGGCGTTGAAACACGCCTGCTGTACCCGCCCGTATGCATATGACGCACTACGCACCCGGCAAGAAACACTGAAAATACCCCCGTGCATGAAAAAAAAAACTGACTTAATCGTTAGTAACCGTCTCGGGGATTGCTCTAGGTTCGTTCTCAAGAAACGGATTGACAAGCTCATTCACACTCACCCTTGAAACTCGATCAAGCCGACTCATTTGGCGCCTACCAGAGCGCTACTCCGGCCCCAACACTATTTGAAGACGATAATCAATCTTGAAAGTGACAACGACAGACACAACAGCAAACACAAACAGGAAGAGTGCAAAACAGCTTCGCCATGGCGGCACCCAAAAAAATACTTGAAAAAAAATACCCCGATAATTCCTCAAGAGAGAAAAGAAACTTACCTCACGCTCTGCTTCTCTCTGCCGCACGACCAACCCCCCCATTCTGGTGAATGACTACATCCAACGTCTTGCGTTAAACATGTCGCTAAGGAACATTGTCAACCAAAGTGTCAACCCCGCCGACTTGACTCGCAACATTTCTGGGTCTCGTGACACAATCGTGTCGCTCCCCATCAACACCCAACTCAAACCTCAAACTCTGTCCCACAATAATCCAACAAAAACAAGCACGGCGCGCTCTCGCAAACACCATTGCAGAACCCTGACCAGTACCCCTGCGCGCATGCATCCCCCCCCCTCCCACCCCAACCTTCACCCCTTCTTGTGCATGAAACACCCGCACCAGAGGCGGCGGCGGCACACAATTTGTGCTGAAGTAGCGGCAACAAAGCGGCCCCACGGCGCTACGGGAATGCAAACCTCGGCTAGGTACTCCCCCATTCCTCCTCCCGTTGGAACACATAACTCTAATAGGAGTCTGCCGATGATGGTCTAAGAATGTAAGGCCGAAACAAAAACGTTCACGAGGCGGCCTGAAACCGCCTTTAGCACCCCCCAATCAACCCATGGCATTTTTATCTGGTTTGGCACAGCAAACGCAGGGGTGATGACCAGCTCCTGGTTCATCCTTGTGAAACGAACGTAGCATGGGCCGGCGAAAACCCGGCATATCGCTCTGTCCCCGCATTGTAGAGATGCGCTCTAAGGACTACGGCATGCGTTTACACTACCGCTCACGTCGCCCTAACACGACAACATTGGTACCCTTGTCAACGCGGCGGTGGGGATGTGCCCCTCCCTCCCAGCAACACGTCTCCTGAAGGATCGCCTTTGCGAGAAAGTAAGTTAACGGGATTACAGAATAGGGAGGGGGTACGCAGACCCTATCCCTAACCCTAACCCAGCTTCCCCTGTTGCGTGCTTTCTCCAGCATGTTTTCCGAAGAGAAAAAACACGAGAAAGCTACTGCTCTTGGAAGTCGGCAAAAACACCGGTCGTAACGTCCACGATCAACCAGGAGGAGTGTCGATCGATAACAGCAAGCCAACGTTACGCCGTCTTGCCCGCTCCGTAGTACTCCTCGATGCACACGGGGACCATCGGCCCCTTGTCCTTCGCGGCGCGTCTTACGAGGCTGTCGGCGAGCAGGGCGGCGCACTTGACGTTGGTGATGAGGGACACCCCGAAGTCTACCGCGGAGCGCCGGATGAGGTAGCCGGCGCTGATCTCCTCCGTCTTCTTGGTCCCCTGTTTTTTTTTTTTTTGCAATGGGAGAATATCCATGACTTTTCAGGATGGAAAGGTGACGTTGGACGATCCACGTAAGTAGAGCGCATCAATCAATCGCTAGGGGTGATGTGGGGTGACGTTGGAAGCGTACTACAGCAGTAGTCACGCCTTCGAACGTTCGCACTCTGTTCGCATGTACCCGAACTCGTCTCTGCTGCACCACGTACGTCTGGCGCACGCACTACATGGACGCTTGCTCTCTGTACGTATTGTCTGCCTGTGCTACCGTAAATGACACAAGATAACACACCCCCTGGACCGATTTTCAAATCTCGATTTCTCGACAGCAGAAAGAGGTACAGCGCGGAAAACGGTGGAGTTGAAGCTGCCTCGTCTAGAGCTTTCCGAAAATGTTTTGTTTCATGTATGCATTCTCCTCGTTGTCGCATGATCAAGCTTTGACAATTGGTCCAGGGGGTGTGTTATCTTATGTCATATACGGTATTTCCATACCTCAGGGATGTTGATCACCAAGTCCACCTTTCCATCCTTGATGTACTCCACCACATCGGGCAGGGGGCTGCCGTCGAGAGCGGTGGCGGTGCCGTCGCCCGCCCCCTTGCACTTTGGCGGTTTTGCCAGCGTCTTCGTGTCCACCTGCAACAGCACCAGACAACCACGGAAAAATTAGATCAACACAACAAACAACAACGAGCCACGCATACACAAATTCTGATCATTGCCTAAGGACACGGAGAGCCGTAGAGAGACTGACGCGGTCGGTCGAGACCAACAACGCAAACGCATACCGATTGACGAATTTTATTGGTCAGCTGATGAGCGTGGTCGGTCGACGCCAACAGCATCGACGTCTTTGCATTGATCAGCAGGTTAGCGCGGTCGGTCGGTCGACGTCAACAACATGGACGTCTTTTCATTTGTCAGCAGACTAGCGCGCGATCGGTCGACGCCAACAGCATTGACCTCTTTTCATTGGTCAGCAGGTTAGCGCGGTCGGTCGGTCGACGTCAACAACATGGACGTATTTTCATTGGTCGGCAGACTGGCGCGCGATCGGTCGACGCCAACAACATTGACGTATTTTCATTGGTCAGCAGACTAGCGCGGTCGGTCGACGTCAACATACACATGCTTCCTTCAGTAGTAGTCCACCCAACTCGTGCTTGCGTACTTACCCCGTGGTTACAGAAGTAGTCTGCCGTTCCCGGGGTCCCCACGAACGTGAATCCCATCCTCACGAACTCCTTGGCCCACGGCAAGAACTCCGCCCTCATCGAGTCCACAGCGAAGGACACAAGGATCTCGTTCTGCCGTACACATGGCATACACGAAGCGGAAAGCGGTCGGTGACGAGGCACATGGGGTAACCAAGGGTCATGTCGACAAGACAAAGAGGATGTCAACGGTCATGTCGACAAGGATGTCAAAGGTCACGAACACGTCGACATGCAACAAGAAAATCAACCGTTCTATCCAACCAAAACGTAAACCCTGGGCATGAAACGTCACCGTGTACCTCTGTGATACAGAAACAGCATTGCTCAACTCGGTGAGCACAACCGCTGGTGTGTGTTGGTTGGGAAACGATGGGGGTAGACGGAGAAGCACACGTACCTTGACGCTGGGCAGCTCGAAGCCGGTGGCTACCAACGCCTGGATGAAGGCGTCGTTCGTATCCCGACCGAATGCGGCCACCTCCCTGCCCGAGAGAGAGAGAGAGAGAGAGAGAGAGAGAGAGAGAGAGAGAGAGAGCCGAAAGACAGGTAACGAATAGGACACAACCATCACCATCACGTCGTGTGATACACACCGAATGAGGGTCTGGGGTCTGACCATCACGAAACATATACCTACACGTGCCACACTGAAAAGCAAAACTAAATCAGCAAATTTGCGCACTCAGATGTGTCCCATGTGCCCTTTTCGGGTAGCTGGCCTCTGTTCACGGAAGGCGTCCGCATCAGATGGACCAGTGCGGACGTCAGAGGGTACTGAGCGGAGAACAGATCGGTTCTTGACGTGACGACAAAAAACATCAACACACCGTCCACCACCAACACCAACTCCACCAAGAAGCACTTGTCGCCAGCTCACCCGGTGGAGGACATCTCGACGCCGAGGGTAGGGTCTGCACCTCTGAGCCGCGTGAAGCTGAACATCGGTGCCTGCGTGCCAAAGACAACGCCACCCAAAGACGATTGATAAGCTTCCGGCAACATGATCAACAGACGAGACACTCCTTTCATGCAGCAGCGAGAATATACCGGTCACAAGAGTAGCCGATCAGACATCAGCACTCTTTGCTGTACCGGCGGCACAACTTTGTCCAAAGTGCGACGCATCTAACAGGCAGAGAGGTCTACACAGGAATAGAAAAACAGGAACCACTGTGTACGCTGGCAGCATCTTATCCATCAAGTGAGCGCGGTGGAGGCTACAAAACACAGACAGGGAAGGGGGGGGTGGGTGGGTGGACATCAAATCAACAGCATCCTAACGTGTGCATGGAGAAAATCTTCACAGAACAGCAACACTAGCTATGCGCACCTTCACGGCGACGTAGTCGATGTCCAAGAGGCTGATGTTGTAGGGCACAGCCTTCACCCCGAGCATGACTCGGGTGGCCAGGGTGATGAAGTTGCAGCCCAGGGTCTTGGAGATGAACGGGAATGTTCGCGAAGCGCGGAGGTTGCACTCGATCACCTGTGTTGCCCCGCCGAGACAGATAGTTGCACCGCTAGAAACGGTTAGATGTGAGCTGATGCAAATCCCAATACCAACACAAACAACAGTTAGGGGTGTCAAAGCGGAAAATTTCCTCCAGGAAAAAAATCGAAAAAACGTCCTCGGATCTTGCTGATGGAAAATCGGCCAACCAATGAAATTGCACGGAAGCGTCGGAACCTCCCGAAAAGACCCTCTGACGCACACGCGCGAGGGCGCGGCTCGCCTGTGTGCTTTGCGCCCTGCTATGGGGCACAGCACAACACCATTGCGCGGTCCCACTCTAGAACAAATGCCTCATGACACACCCGAGCAGCAGCCGGGCGGTGAAGCCACACAGACACCTGCCGCCGCCGCTGCTGCTGCTGCTGAAAAAAACAGCAGCAGCAGCAGCAGCGGCGGCGGCGGCGGCAGCGAGGTTGAGCCTGGCTCTCTTCCGCAATTTTCTTACTTTTGACCAACTCCTTCGTTTCCTCCAGCGTTCTCTCTACGACGGTGAGGCTGCCGCGTTCGATAGCGCGCCGCGTGTTATCTTCTGCTGACGTGGCAACCATACACTGCCCCGTCCTCTCTTCAAACTTCGTTTTGTGTTGATTCAGCTTTCGCGCAGCGCGCCTCCTGCTGCCGAACGGCGCGGACCTCGATTTTTTTTTGGGAGGGTCTGCTGGTGTGGGCGCTGCAGCCCCACTGGAGGGGCCGTTTTCAGACATGTAGATCTCGTGGTTGGCTGATGCGATTCGGATGCGGTTTGTTGTGTGGTATAGCTGTAAACCCCAGGTAGAGGGCTGCAAGCTCGCTTTTTCGAGAGGAGCAACGGTCGCCTTGGGCGTGGACCAAAGAGCCCAAAAAAACACGTTTTTTGGTGTTGTTCGTCCGCCCTTTAACTTTAAGAGAAAACCGACCGTACAGTCACCTCTATTGGACCTGTGTCCAGGTGTGTGTAACGCATGAAGAGCCATGCTGCTGTCTGGACGCAGAGCTGCCTGTACAAACAAATTGACTTGATGAATAGTTTATTCAGTATTAACAGCGGGATTCTCAAGAACCAAAAAAAGAACCAAACCCGCGTGCCCCCCTCAAATTTTGCCGAATGGACCGGACGTTTTTTTGGCCCCAAACTCCGCCGCTTTAACACCCTTCACAGTGGCAGCACCAACGCCAGCTACGTCGACAACGACAACGTCTAGAGCGAAATCACGCCTGCGGTGTTATTATCATCCGAGTCAACTTGCAGTCTGACTGTAGCGTACCTTAGAATGAGGCCGCATCATTTGCCCCGCGCAGCACGGCAGCATGCCTTCGTTTCAATCGACACACTCTACAGGAACAAGTCCATCACCACAACATTGGTAGGGATGCAAACGCAACCAAAAGGAGATAAAAAAAAAGGCAACAGCTTTGGTGTCGACATCTCAAAAGGGTGCAGCTGGATGTTGAAAGGGCCCGGTAGACTCACATACAAACCAAAAGTAGAGAAAAACAATACAGGTAGCCTTTCGCTCACGCTATGGATTCATTGCTAATCTATCTTAGACTTATTTCTATAGATAGAGATGGATTTGTTGTGTGATATTAAGAAAATAAAGCAAAATAAAACAGGGATGTTCTACTTTCTTACGACGCGCCTTGATGTCTTGCTCCTTGGCCATGAGCTGGATGTTGAAAGGGCCCGAGATGCTGAGGGCCTTGCAGATGGCAGAGGCGACTCTCTTGACGCGTCGGATTGTCTCGACCCAAAGCTTCTGGGCGGGCAGGAGAAGGGTGGCGTCGCCCGAGTGGACGCCGGCGTTCTTTTTTTTTCGAGCGAAACACAAAAACAAGACGGAGTCGCAAGCAGGCAAGGTGGTACGAGGAAGAGAGCGGAATCCGTCGGGGGGGGGGGGGGGGGGGGGGGGGGGGGGGGGCACGCGCACAGGTCAGACAGGGGTGGTAGGTGGGTAGGAGACAGGAGAAAGGGTGAGAACAATCAGAGGATCATATGAGTGCCAAAACACCATCATTCAGCGGCTGAACCAAGCTTCATGTAATCAGATGCGGGACAGGCAGTGCTCTGTTCACTCAACAGCAGCACACGTGGGCGGGGAGGGCACATAGGACACGTCATCCCGCACACCCACACACTAAAAAAAAACAAAAAAAAACAGCCGCCAACACGCCATCACCAACACACCTCGACGTGCTCGCTGATGGCGTAGTTGAGGATTCGTCCGTCTTGGGCGACTCCGTCGAACTCGATCTCCTTGGCGTTGAGGATGAACTTGCTCACAACCACCGGCTTGTCCTGAGCCGCGTCCCCCGCGGCCGAGAGGTATTTCTGCACAAAAACAAGAAAGGCACAAACAATCGACGGGGATCGCTCCAAGACGGTGACGAGGACAAACAGCACAAACGAACAACTAGCTTTCGCAAAATTAAACATGCCTTGCTAATTTATCTCTTGCGCTCTTTCGAGAGGTAGAGATATAGAGGGGGGGGGCTTGAATTTGGTGTGATACCATTGCCCAAACGACTCAAAAACAAATCCAGCCGTTTAATCCACGAGCTCGCCCTTGGCTTCTCGCCCGAAGTTATCCCAAAACGCTGCACACTCGCCAAAAGAAGCCAAGAGGAAGCCAAGAGAAAATTGAGACGATTAGACACCAACGCTTACATCCTTCCAAAGTCGGTCGTTTTGCAAGCATTCCCATAGCACCGTAGAAGTACCTTCCGCGCAAAACACGCACCAAGAGTCTCACAACACGGACACGCCGCGAAACACGCATTAAGCCGAACCCCAACAGCAAACTAGAAACGATATACAAGTATCGACCAACAAGTATATACTCCAAAAAACGAGACACGATCATGTTCAACCATGATTTTATCGACCGACGCACCTCGAGCTCGGTGTGGTTGCTCGCGACAGCCATGGCGGCACCGGAGAGGACGAAGGAAGGTCGAACCAACACCGGGAAACCCACACGGTCAGAGAAAGACAATGCTTCCTTGGGGGTGCTCAGCAATGCCCATTTCGGCTGTCGTGTGACAAACAGACAGAGAGAGAGCAAAACAGAGAGGAAGAGAGAGAGGGGGAAGGGGGTAGGGGAGAGAAAAAAGAGAGAGAGAGAGAGCGAAAAGTAACAGGGTTGGCGAGAGATACAGAGAGACGAAATGTCTACATCATTTCCGTATCCGGCTGTCGATCGAGCGTTGAAGAGAGTTAGGACAAGGTGGGCAACGAAAAGAAAGAGACGAAACGGTTGCCACATTTCCCAACCTGGGTGTCGAGCAGGGGGGACAGCTTAGGGTCGGCGAGGGATGGTCAAAACACGAAACGGTTGATGAACAACATTTCCAATCCGGTTGTCGAGCGAGCATTTGTCCCCATTGGTCGGCGACTGCTGCTGCTGCCGCTGTGACGTTTTTCCCCTGGCAATCTATTTAGTTTAGTTACCTGGTCCACCCCGATGGAGTCGAGCATGGCGCTGAATTTGTCGCGGTCCTCTGCGCGGTCGATGTCCTCGGGCCTCGTGCCCAGGATGTTCACGCCAGCCTGCAAAAACAGACATGGTCAGAGTCAAAACAGCCATAATCAGCCAAATAACCAATTATGAAAGACAAGACAGTCGTGTTCAAACCCACAGGAGTCATGTTCGAAACAGGATGTTCACGCCAGCCGTCAAAAACAGCCATATTCCAACAGATGATGCTATAGATAGCCGTTGGTTGAAGGTCGTGCTCGTGGCGTTATAGTCTTGAAACTCTGCCAAAACAGCCATGTTCCAAAAGGCGTTATCCATAAATAGCTGCTGGATAAGGGCGTGCTCTTCGTGTTATCCTCTCGCCACTCTCCCAAAACAGCCATGTTCAAAAAGGCGATTGCAGTCAACCTCTTGATGACTAACGGTCTCCGTACTCAACAAGGTCACCTCTATTGATCATCACATACGAGAAGCAGACATCGGTAATCAACACGACACAGCATGGGAGACTCATACCTTTGCCGACTCCTCCTTCCTTTTTTCCTATGCGGGGGGGGGGGGCAACCCATCATCGAACACCGTAGCCGCACATGTTCTTCAAGTGTAGGATTCTTGGCTTGAGCAACTGCTGTTCTCTACGGTCACGCTTGTGAGCTACGCCCACTCCCTTGGTTGTAAGCACACGCAGGGGAACGACTCCTGAAACCTTCTCGCGCGAAAACTCGAGGCTTGCACCTGCTGCTGTGGTCACTCGATGCGCTGCTTAGAGCTGGGCGCTTGTGGTTTCACCTGGCTCAAGGGCATGGCTAAGTTGTTGGGTATCTGTCCTCCCACGCTGACCACCACTCCCTCAGCCATCTCCCACTCGTAGATGTCCAGGACCCTCTCGAACGACAGCTCCTCGAAGTACAGACGGTCAGACTCGTCGTAGTCGGTGCTCACCTTCAAGACAAAAATGAAGCAAAAGAAAAGAACATGGCGCATCGAGATATCGTCACGGAAATGGCCATGTGTGTGTGTGTGTGTCTGTGTGTTTTATTATTATTAGCATCGACCGCGCTAACCGGCTGACCAATGACAAGACGTCAGTCTAAGTGCGGTTGAAAACACAAAACACTTCTATCTGCCATGAACTGGGACCCCATGAGGGGGGAGGCATGGGGGAGACTAAACTATCCTTCGGATCAAAGACAGTAAGTGTGAGTGTGTGTGTGTTTTCCTCCTATTTATTCTTGCGACAGTCCCCCCTTGGTGAGACGTGTGCTACCCTTTCCAGTTTATTTTTTTGCACAATTACAACCATTCAGGGTCACACAGGAGGGGGTAACACCGGGGCTATTTTCTTCTACTTTTTTTAATTTTGTTTTCGTGACCCACCTTCTTCGTGCGTTCGCTGAATTTTAATTTCATCGCGAGAAGGATCCAGCCGTCCTTTCCCCTCGTCAACGGTGCTAACGTCGAAGTTTGGTACTCACGAGAGTCTTTCAGCTATTTTTTTTCTCTCTCACCCGCAATTTTAATTTTTCCACCCCATGGGGATCAGACCCCCCTCCCCCCGGTGTTTGCCATCGGGGTTGGGTTTTCGTCGCTTGGCAACGACGTTGTAAAACAAGCCGATTCACTTCGTGAGCTCGGCAACCAGGATACTGTTATTGTTTACCTCTGTTTATTTTTGGTGGTAACCATAATGGTGGTCGAGTAGATATGTTGTGCGGGGTGGAGAACCCTCACTCCGCGCAAGGGGGATGATCGCACCA